CAATGCTCTCATCTCCTCCATAACTGCGACATCCCACCACTTCCAAACATGGCACTCTCCATCGTCAGCATTCGCACAAGTGTAGTATCTTCTACCAGGGTTGTTTCTTCCGGTCGAGGTTGCTAGAAGAGGTTGCCCACCACAGTAACATGTCTGCGGGAATCCGAACTCGACTTCAGGTTGTGGTGGGTACTGACGCGGCTGTGTACAATTGTTACTGAGCTCTGCTTGATCCATACGAATAAGATCATCAGTTTCGCTGTACGCACTGTCCACTGTGTTCCCACCATAGTCATCTGATGTAGATGGCTGGCTGTAGCTGTAATCTAGTCCCATGTCTTGGTTAACCTGCAAACCATTAATTAAACAAGAGCAATTTTAAAACACACATTGCTTAACCAATAATTTTAAAACACAATCATTTCAAGCAGCCACTGAGTACAAGACATATAACAAACGAGACAGATTTTAATTAAACATGAGTCATTAAAGCAACAATGGACAACCAGTACATCATTAAACATGAAACACAAATAGAGGACTACAAGTACAACATTAAACATGAAACAGAAACATAAATAGAAACATTAAACATGAAACAGAAACATTAAACATGAAACAGAAACATAAATAGAGTACAGCGTTCAAGCAAGAAGAAGTAGCTTATTCTTAAGTACTTCTTCAGCCTCAGATAGAGGTTCTTTTTTAGCTAGGAGTGTGTCTAGTATAGCCAGTTTACAGAGCTTCTCCTTCATCGTCAACTCAGCCTTCTTGATCTCCCAAATGCTCTTATAATCATTATGAGCCTTCTCTTTACCATTATTCTTTTTGGCTTTTGCAGCTTTGATACCTTCAAGGCGTATCTCATCCATACCAACATCGGTACTTGAAGATTGGGAAACTTCCTCACTATTTTTTCTCTTAGGATTCGCTGTGGCTTTAGGAGTATTGAGTGAAAGCCATTTATGTTCATACCTGAGCACACACCATGCATGCTCAAGGTTGAACCTTTTTTTATGATTCGCCAAGAAGATGTCATGAGCCTCACTCAGGAGATCCATCTCATTCCGACCACTGCCGTGCGCTCTCTCAGCAGCTGCAAAGGCCCCACAGAACTTGTTAGTGACTTCATTTATCTTGTGCCACCTCTGCTTACAGTTGTGATGCTCTCTCTTTTCACCACTCCCTATAGCAAGTGGACTTGCTGCAAAATAGTCTCCTACGCGTTGCCAGAAGGTTCCACGTGATTGATCATTTCCGACAATAGTATCTTTGGATGTGTTTAGCCATGCACTGATTAACACCATGTCATCGGCTGGGGTCCATTTCATTCTCTCCTTGCGCTCCACGGGTATGTGTTGAGTTGGAGCTTCAGATTGTTGTGAACTGAAAGGAGGTATTTCTGAAGCTCCAAAGACTACACTAGAAGAAAAACTTTCGTAAGGAAAGTTTCCCTGTTGAACACTCTTTTTGACTGTTTAGAAGGCCTACATAACTCGAGGACTGCGTATATGAATGCCTTGAATCCATAGGAATGATAAAAGAGAAGATAGTGAAGAAGATAAAATGTTGTGTTTAAGGGTTTCAGGAAAGAACAAGATGAATGAGATTATATGATAGAATGGAGGAGGATGGTTTACGTTAAATAGGTGAGTTGTGATTTGTAATAAGTTCCTATAATAATGTGTAACCATAAACAACCAAAGTCTAATCAGAAGTAATTATCCTATAAGAGAACTACAAAGCTATCAAGTTGGTCGTACATTGTCATTAAAGTTAAATAGGCTTTGCTTTCAATACACTCCAACTACGCAGAAGTAATAAGCAAAAGTAACTAAGAACATCTCCAACCCAACCTCAAATCCTCAAATTTTGAGGTTTTGGTCATTCCAATCGAACCTCAAATCCTCAAATTTTGAGGTTTTGAATAGTGACACCTCAAATTTGAGGTTTCACTATTCAAAACCTCAAAACTACTATTCATTTTCTTTTTAGTCCTTACAATTATTTTCTTTCACAAATACATCTATTAACTTTATTTAGATAACTTAAATATACCAAAATAAAATAAAATATAATAAATAATACATAAAACTAAAAGTAAATTTACACAAATATAAAAATACATTAAATATAACTCATAAAAAATAAAATAAAAATTAAACAAACTTAACATAAATTAAAGCAAATTATAGAAACATTTAAGTATTGCATATCTTACAAGTGGTATATTATATGTAACTTTCTAAAAAAATTCTGAGTGTATGTTATTTTATTATATATGTAATTTATATTATTTTATCATATAATATTTTAATATTCTATGTTTTATAATATATTAATTGTATATTTTATATGTATTTGTGAAATATTGTCATTATTCATAGTTTTTATTAATATCAAGGACTATAATGCAAATAATATAAAATTTTAAGGATTTTTTTGAGGTTTTATGGTTGGAGCAATCAACCCTCAAATCCTCATTTTGAGGTTTTGCTCCCCTTAAAATGAGGTCTTGGGTTGGAGATGCTCTAAGCATTATGGTTTCAAGGAAACTAGACATCGTTTCAAGGAAACTACACAACTTCAGTAAAGTAAAACTGCATTTGGTTTCAAGGAAACTACACATCGTTCAAACAAAAGTAACTAAGCATTAAGACACCAACCAGAGCAGTGAGAAGTCTACTCGCAAGTAATAGCACAACACTTCAATGCTAACTTTAAACTAAACATTAACCACCACAGTAAAATGGTACAGAAGCAGAGCTAACATTAATAATGATCGTAGTTTGGTGGATATGTCAGTTCATATTCTTTAAAGAGTTAAGTATGATAATCTAACAATAGAAGATAAGCTTTATTACAATCTCACAATAGACAATTAAAATTTTGTTAAAAATGGCAATCCCAAATGAAAATTCAATCACGAATTTAAAACTTTAGTTAATAGAAATTCTCAATCCCCCATGAACATTCAAACACGATTTCAAACATATCTCCGAACCATGCACAAACCAAACAATCAGAAACAACAGTTTTAATTATCTCACATAATCACAAAGCAAACAATTTTATTTTCAAGATTTTCGCAGAGGAGAAAGACTTCTCCGAACCATGCACAAACCAAACAATCAGAAACAGCAATGAAATCTCTAAAACGGAGAACGAACATGTACATTTTTTTTAGATTTCAATCGGCGGACCAGAGGATTTCGATTAGGGCAATGGGCGGCTGTGGAGGTAGCAACAAATCGATGAATCGCCGGCGAAATTTTGGGATGACGGAAGAATAAACGAGAAGATTTAATTCCCCCACCAAATCGCCGTCGAGAGAGTAATGAATTTTTTCACGGCGAACTGAGAAGAACGAGAGAAAGAGAGAGACACTTTACCCTACACGCTCGTTTAGTGTGACACCTGTCCCTGAAGGACGAGCCCAAAAACTTCTTAACTAAGAAGTGAGATGGCCCGTTTGCAAGAGTTTTCTGTATTTTTCATTTTTATTTCGGGCAATAATAGCTAAGAAATGGGCCTAAGATATGGCGATAACCATGCCCTAAACAGTTTCTGTGGTGTGAAACTGAAAGGCTCTTGTATCTGTTCTATAAATGCGTTGCAGTGCCACATGCATTTACAAGCTCACATGGTTCTCTATGGAGTTATCAGGAGGTGGCGAGCCAGAAGCCTGGACCAAATACAAGCGGCTGGAAATGTTAAAACGGGCTTAGTATAAACGGACTTACACGGGTCCATATGTTTAGGCTCGTCTCATTAATAGGCATATCCGTTAAATAAACGGGTATCTATTTAGGTCCGTCTATGAATTTTTTTCAAAAAAACAAAATATTTAAAAAAATGTTTTTTAAATAATTGTTATTATATAATTTGTGTTTTTGAAACAAAATAGTTATACCATATATAGTTTGTTTTTTAGAAAAGGATTTAGGTTATAATTGTGTTTCAAAACCTACTAGAATTTGTTGATATTTTATAATATTATGAACTAATTAATAGTTAACAATACTAAAATAGATTGTTCAAATTTTTCTTTAATTTGAATTTGTATTTATTATAAAGTTATAAAATCAAATAAAAGCTATTAAAAATTATATAAGATATGATAAAAGATTAATGAAAAAAATAGAATTCACAAAAAAACTTAAATGGGGACTAAACAGATACTATCAATATAAACGGATTTAGCAAGAAACGGGTTAAACATTAAACGGATCTAAACGAGCTTGACATTAAACGGATCTAAACGGGTAGGACCTAAATAGGCAGGGTCTAAACGGACCCGGATAGCCCATATTAACATTCCTACAAGCGGCATCACAGTGTTCCATCGTCTGGACGGATCTGTGCTGCCCTTGGCAGGTGAAGAAGTTTGCTGAAGATATTCAGCAGATCGGACAGTAGACCCAAGTGAGCATCTGGATCACCTATCCGTGAAAGCTTGACATTAGAGAACCCAAAAGATGGTAAGAGATGATTAGGTCAGTCACTGTAAAAGTGGAAAAACAGAGTTTGGGAGTGCAGCTTTGGTTTGTTACATGAAATCAGTTAAGAGAATTGTGCTGGTTACTGCACATTTCTCAGCTATGAGATCCAGGCCTTGCTTTGTCTCTGTGTGGTAATAGAATGCTTTCAAGAAACCCATACAGTGTTGATTTCTGGCATAAAACCCGATTTCTTTAGCTTTTCAAACTAGTCGTTATCTCTGATATCAGTTTCTACTCTAACTAGTGATTTCACCATCATCCTAAGCTTATTTCTTGAGTTTACTGCAGCTTTGATTATGCTTATTTTGTCTTGCAATAAATTGGGGAAATTAACTTCGAATACATCACTTTTGTTCTTTGACAAAAAATAATATAGGCTGTTTGTTTCTCAATGGGCTTATTAGCCAACAAGCCATATTTCAATAATGAATTAGTTAAAATTATTGAAATATTAACAACTCTAATCATTAATTTGGAAGTGATTTAAAAAATTGATTTCTCAAAAAATATATTATTTGAGTTGAGAGGATAGATAGAAAGAAGGCTAGAGAGAGATGATTCTTCCAGCTTTACAAACGTATTTCTTATGACAATATCACACTGTTAATTGTCAAACAAATTGATAAAATGAAAAAAAAGAAAAAATTGATAAACAATTTGTCTCTGCTTCAGGAATATTTTGGTCTGTTGAATTTGACCACACGCATATTTGTAGCTTGAACCGGCCTTGCGTTTGTATTTGAATGCTGCAAATTATTTTGCAAACACATATTAGTAAACAGTTGTAAGACTCATGCTATAAGTACATTTGTTTAAATAAAACTTACATCGTGAACAGCCACTCGGAGTAGTTTCACTTGGTCTCTGCTCACAGTCTTGACCTAATAATCACGCAAATAAATATGACCGAATGGATATGACATAAATGGCCATGAACTAAGGTAAACATACATAATAAAAAGAAAAGTGAAAATAGCTTGGAAAATAAGAGAACATATATTTTTTCAAAAAATAAAAAATAAAATAAGAGAACATATAGTATTGTACCTCTTTAACGATGGTCCAAATAACATTTTGGGTACAAGGGGGAATTGTAAGTGATCCGATATATCTATAATATTTGTTTCTCCCAAACTTGATGTCCCTGGGATCAATCATTCCTATATTTCTTTCTTCATTGGGGTCTGTTGTCTCGGACAATTTTTTTTCCAACTGACCAGAAAAAAAAATACAGTACAGAAAATTTGTTGTAATATTTTATTATTTAGAAACTCAAATGTTTAATTAGTCACAGTTACGGATCGATTTATACCATTCTGAGAAAAGGGTCTGCCCTTCCGATGTTGTAAAGCACTGTGATTACAGCCAAGCTTCCATTCGAGCTTTGGTGAACCATATGCAGTTCCAGAGCAAACCTACCATATTTAAGAGAAACAATTTTAAAAGTTGCACAACAAACTATTATAAAAAGTCTTCAAATGTCGTTTGTAATTCTTTAGTCACCCCCTAAAGATCGCCTAACACCATACTTAACCTGGAGTTTTTAAGACGCGGTTCTTAGCAAAATTTATTAACTTTTAACTAAAAAAATTAAGAATCGGTTCTTAAAGTCCTTATTAAAAACCGGTTCTTAGCGATTTTAGTTAAAAGTTAAGAAACAGTTTTTTAACTTCGACTAAGAACTTCTTCCTAAGAACCTCGGGTTAAATATGCTATAAGGCTTCTAGCTATAAATGTCGTCACACCTCTAATTCTAGCTTAAATCAAATAGTATAAGAAGTTGAAACAAAACAAATTTTATATAAACCTTCATAAATATATACGTTAAATAAATTAAAAAAGAATTGGTAAATGTGTTTCCAAATATTATTTTCCCCTCTTTTGGACTAAAATGTGCTTAGCATGTTGCATACTTTTTCCCGTCGATCGTATGCTCAGAGGGAGAATGCCAATGAAGCTGGCCTAGTTGATATTCAACGTTATTGATCTCAATAATACTTGACCCTTCTTCAAATCTCACCTGCCACAAAACAAATATGAGTATATATAAAGTTTATTAAATTTAAAAATGAGGAACCAATAATGTGTAGTTGACTCATCATATGGATCCATGTGATAGAGATCAAGGTTCCATCATCTACGGAAACTGATGTGTTTCCACACAAGACGTTTAAAATAGTAAAAATACATGACTCTCAACAGATTTTTGGGATTAGTCCGAGTTTTAGACAATATTTGTATTTAGGTTCTACAAAAAATGAGTGGTCTATAAATTTGTAATAAATAATACCATCATGTCATGGCCTCTATTTCTAAGAGTGGCATTGGAAGGTTTGTAGTTTCTAGTAAGCCTTCCAAGATGTGAAACGATTCTAACTCTTCTGTTCCTAAGATCAATTGGAGATTGCATATCTCCTTTTCCGCACATATGCCATTCCGGCTTCAGTTTCCCCCATTTCTCTGGCCCGGTCTCGTGGTTCCGTTCGTAGCTAAATTCAGTTTCATCCTCTACATTCATTAATCCCATCAAAGAGTAGTTAACAAATGTCCATATAGAAAAATAAACTTTGTAAGGAGTACAATGAACCAAGATCAAATGTAAATAGCTTACCAACTTCTCCTTGTGCATTCGAACGTGGAATTATGGTGACGATGATGGTGAGAAGTATGAATAAGAAGCACTGGATTGATGATTTGTTCATCTTTGTGCTTCAGAGAGAAAAGAAGGAGATGAGTTGGGTCAGTTGTTTTTAATCTTAGATGACAATTTGAATGCCTGATATATAGTGGGTGAGATGATACTACAATATGATTTAATGATTAGTAGTGCATGTAGAAAATGACGATATTAGTGAATTCTTTTTCCTCTTTTAGCTTTTTAAAATGATTTCTGTTATCCAGACGACATCTTTTGACCTTGCTGAGAACATGTGTACGCCTCCACATTATTCTTCTCTGTCCAACTAGACATCGCATTTTATATAGGGTTTTCTTCTTTTAGATATATATAATATATATAGGTTTTTCTTGTGCTAGGATTTACACCGAAGCTCTATTCAGTTTTTTTTTTCATTTTGATTAATCGGGGGATATTAAGCAGGAGACCATATATGTGTATGTGTCTCCAAAATATTATTTAAAGGAACCCTGAATTTTCAAAAAAAAAAAACACTTCAAATTAAAACTAAAAAATTGTAACAAAAATTGGGTCATGTGAAAATACACTTCTTGCACATGGCAAAAGATGTAACTGGTGTCTATGAACAATTTAATTTAGTTTTACACTACAGATAGATCGAAAATGAAAGGTGTCGACATCTCAAGTTTTACCACTCGACCACAAAGTCGGGACGGTGTTCAGTTTTCATATTAAAGTTTTTATCTTATCGCTTACATTTCAAAAACGTGCACGCGTATTACCAGATTTAGACCTAAATCACGACATTATATTTTAGTTATTGATTCGTTCTTTAAACAGAAAAAGATAAATACATCATTGCATAGGTCAATGATTGTAAAACAATTCGGTTGTCTTTAGTTTATTCGTGCCAACGCTTAATTTGTTTTTTTAAATATGTCTGACAAAGCATTACGCGCCTGTACAAAATTTATATTAGACGGCATGTTTCACTATGTGTTGGTTTGGTTGTTAGTACGCGAAAGGATATCATTGAAATGTATAAAACAAAAATCACAAAAACCTGCAAAATCTTTCTGTAAGATCCTTTAACGAACAGCTTTCGCATAAAAAAACCAAAGTCAGCTTAAAGTTTTTTTAATTTATAATTGGAATGTCCGGTATGAGTTCCAGATAATATTCCAATAAATTGATATAAATTTTTCAAATTTTTGGGGCCATAGCCTTTCATTGAGAACTTTAATAAAAAAATCTTAATAATTTGGTGATATGTTATATATATAATCTCCAAAATAATTGGAAGTCAACACCAATGCTTCACGGAAAATCTAACAAAACTAGATAATTTTCATATGATATTTTGTTCACCTTTTCAAATAATAAGATTTTTAAGATATAAATCTAAAAACAGAAATTTTTATAAATTAATAATTCTTGTTTTTAATGCCAGATATTATATTATTATAAATTATAACAAATATTACAAATAATTTTATAGTCGACATATCTACATATTTGATGAGAATTCACATTTTACTGCCTTACATGAGCCATCCTATCAAAACTACATTTGAAAATAGTTTTTGCACCACACTGCAGATTTTCTTTTATGTATTAATTTACATAATTTCATCTTCTCTAATATTCGAAACTCAAAACTGTGCAAAATTATTTATAAATCCTAAATTAAAACACAAAACACATAATCTATAAATTAACAAAATATCAATTCAAATACTATTAATTTGCAAAATTATTTATAAATCCTTAATTAAAACACAAAACACAATCTATAAATTAACAAAATATCAATTCAAATACTGTTAATTTATAGAATTTTTACTGTAGTGTTGCTCATTCTCTAAGCAATGTTAATAATATTTTTACGAATTCTGCCGCCAACAATTAAAATGGAGTGAAAAAGACAACCTTCCAGAATGCCTTCTACAGAAGTTAACTTAATCAATAATCACTAGCCGGGTTTTTTTCCAGAGTGTCCGGATTGTCCAGATTATAAAAAAAAAAAACATATTTAAAGCGAGGTTTTAGATCCACTGGTGTTCAGATTCTAATATCCTACCTGATATTGTTTTTCCGGATACTTAAATGTTATTATTCACATATACTACCATATAAAAAAGGTTCTCTGATATTATGCTCCCAATTCTGATTTTATGGAGTTTGGATAACAAAATGAGTAGCAATCAGAATATAATTATTAGGACAATAGAAGTACAGAACAAAAAAAAAAGAACTGGAACGTTGCACGTTTGATTGAAATGAGGTCAAACTTGTTCGTCTAATGCAACTTCACATCTTCGGCTCGGAACTTGTCTGATTAAAGTATTGGAAATATATAATTATCATTAATCATACGGTGTTGATGGAACCATTAACAACAAAAGAGAATGCGAGATTTTACCTCGAGGTATCGTTTCAGAAGTGTTGTGGTACTGTAATTGAATCCCTCGAGAGCAGCTCCTTGAGTACGTGACCCATGAAGCTGTTTCCTCACCTGAGTAGCCAAAACTTTTCCTAGCTCAACTCCCCATTGGTCAAACGAATTGATACCCCACACAAAGCCTTGAACCGCCACTCTGTGTTCATAGATTGCCAGCAACTGAAAATTTAAGATAAAACAAAAATGTTAGGCTTTTATAGTCCCCCCAATGATACTCTCATCTCAAAACCTTAAGAGAGGAGCAGACCTGGCCAACATTGTAAGCACTCAGTTCTGGAAGTAGAAGGCTAAGAGAAGGTCGGTTGCCGGTGAATGTCTGTAGAAAGAGATGCCACAACTTTCATATACTTAGAAATCCGTAGCTATTTTTTTAACTTCGGTCCGAGACATTATATTACCTTGTGAGGAATGAGATTTTCTGAAACATTCTCTTTCTGCAGCTGTTCAGGTGTCTACAAAAGGCATAAATAAAATAAAATTAGTGTATTTCAGAAACAGTCTCTTTATAGGCCGCAACCAAATGTAATGTCTTACTTTTCCATATGCAAGAGCATCAGGTTGAGCAAAGAAGTTGGACATGAGCTCGTCATGGTTACTGACAACCTCTCCTGTGAATCCAGTTCAGGAATTGGTCTTAAGTTTCAAAAAGAAATGCATAAAAGAGCTTAAGTCAAAATTTGGAGCATCAGGCGATGCTTACCTTCCAAGTACACAGGTTGCTGACTCTTAACAGTGCCAATGAAATCACAAGGGATTACGCGTCCCTAAACCATCATTAAGAAAGATTTAATGCTATCTCCAATGGCTCTTGGTAGTGATGTAAAATTCAAAATCTATATGTAACCTGGTGAATTAGTTGGTAAAAGCTGTGTTGGCCATTTGTTCCAGGTTCACCAAAATCAATCTCACCAGTCTCGAACGGGAGAGGTAGACCATCAATTGAGACTCCCTTTCCATTACTCTCCATACTAACCTAAAAATCAAACAAGTAAACGATCTTTATATTATTATCTCAAAGTATGGAGCAGTAAAGATTATCAAAGGGAAACCCAGTTCACATGCCTGTTGAATATGCGGAGCAAACTTCTCAAGGGCTTGGGAGTAAGGTAAGATGGCCTGAAAACACAGAAGGATGCTGATGGAGATTGAACATCTTAACATGAGAAGACAATTTCATTTGCTGTCATAGAGTCAAATCTTACCCTGGCAGGATATCCAAGAAATGATACATTCCATACACTCAATAGCCCTAAAAGCACCTGTATTCATCAAGAAAATCAACCTGTCACTCTCCTTCACTACACTAATAACTTCATGAGTCTTTAGTTACGAGTTGATGAACATAGTAAAAAGACAAGAAAATTCCAATTCTACAGAGACCAGTAACTCTTTGAGATTATCAATATAAGGCACTCACGGGTACGTTCTTCTCAAACGGTGTGGACTGGAAATGCTGATCAATGCTTGATGCTCCCTTTAAAAACCTGCAATCCAATTTTAAAAAAAAAGGCTGAATATCAATTGGATCTACTAAGAAGGCTTCTTCTGGATTTAGAAACATAGAACATTACTTTTGAAAATAAAACGGAATACAATATAAAAGAAGAAATCATTCAGAGGAAAATAAAATAGAATATACATAAGTTATACTATGTCGTATTACAGTTTGCAATTCTAACTTATGTTATATGATTCTCTACAGACAGAAAGAATACGCCTAAGACATTTATGAGATGGCTAAAAAAGAAGAAGGTACCGTACTTCTCAACCACAGAGAAACCATACTGTAGAGACAAAGGTAAGACTCCAACAGCACTGCAAACTGCAAAAGAATTTCAATTATAAACTAAGCAAGTTGATATGGATGAGAAATTAATACAGCCAAACAGACGAGCACTTACCACTGTACCTTCCACCAACCCAGTCCCAAAATGCAAATGTATTGTTCGGGTCAATACCGAATTTCTCCACTAACTGTCAAACAAGACATCGAGAGTTCTAAACATTTTCTTCAGTACTGTCTGAATAAATGTAGAAGGTAGAAGAAAATAAACCATTGCCAAGAACATGGAGACTAACATTGTACATCAGACACAGTTGAATATTCAGTTTGTAAGAAGATTATACATTCGGTTTATTGTACTAAAACGAACAATGAAAAAATAGTCACAAACAAACAAATTTAATCACAAATTCATACCGCAAGATTAGTGCTGACAGCAACCATGTGTTTTGCAACAGCCGGAGCCCTGTTAAGTTACCACATATTAAATGACTGCTGTTCATTCACCATACCAAAAGAATGATAAAATAATATTCTGAACAAAATTGCTTATAAATATACAAGAATAAAGCGTTCCTCTGGCAATAATGTATATCTTTCATCCTGGTAATTGTAATTATCTAACACAACAGGGCGATAGCCACACAACAATAAAATGAACACAATCATGAAATTTGGGACGCTAGAAAAGAGAAATACTAACCCGAGAGCAGTTGTAATCCATTCCCTCAATGTTCTAGCGTTCAGCATTGTTTCAGCCGTCGTAAATGTTTTTGAGACCACCACAACTGGAGTTACAAGTAGCATCAGTATTAGTTAAGAGTAAGAATCCGTAGAATAAAAACTACCAAGGTGGATCTATTGATCGGT